TATATATATTACTTTAGTTAATTATTTTATTTCAAGTAAAGTGTTTTTATGGTTTTAGATTTAGTTTTAGTTAACTTTAATAACCCTGTATCTGAGTAAAGTTTTAAAACACAATTAGTTAATAGTTTTCCTTTTACTCATCCATATTATCTCACTTTATCATTTCAGTCACCACCGATCCTCCCATCGCACACCTTCTTACCACCCTGATGAAATGCTTCACTTTTACCGCTGGACGTCACCCCCTGGTGTCATGAAGATTTTGTGCATCATTATCATCATTTTGTGTGTGGCTATGTTTGCCTGTGTAGCCTCCACACTGGCATGGGACTATGATGCCAGCGCCATGGGCCTCGGGGGTCTTGGGATGGGAGGCAGCTATAGCGGTGGATCGTATGGCGGTGGATCGTATGGCGGTGGATACGGCGGTGGGCTTGGTGGATATGGAGGAAGTTACGGTGGGGGTCTCGGAGGCTATGGAGGCGGCACATACATGGACCCGAAATCAGGCAAGGGCTTCATCATAGCGATTGCGGCAATCACCTTTATCGCTGTGCTCATCATCTTCATCCTGGTGGTGTCGAGACAGAACACTGCACAGTCTCCATCATTCTATCTGGCCTCCATCATTATTTGTGCCATTCTGGCTGCACTCATGCTCATCGCCACCATCGTGTACCTGGTCGCTGTTAACCCCACTTCTCAGACATCTGGATCCATGATGTATAGTCAGATCTTGCAGATGTGTGCACAATACAAGAACCAAGATCAGGCCTCTGGCATCTTCATCAATCAATATTTATACCACTACTGTGTAGTGGAGCCTGAAGAGGTGAGCATGTTCTCCTGACTGGGAGTAGGCCATCTTCATAATAATATTTGTTCAGTTCAGGTTGGCTATTATCAGACACGACGTAATACATTTCTGTTGTGTAGAAATGCTAGTTGAGATTCATTCAAACACAGAAGCCAAACTGCCACATTGTCCTCTATATTGTTGTTCATTTGCAGTGCTATTCAAGTGTTTTATTTCTTTCTTTCTCTTCAAGGCCATTGCCGTTGTTCTTGGGTTTCTGGTTGTGGTTGGATTGATCATCTTACTTGTGTTCGCGGTGAAGACCCGAGGGCAGATCAGGAGATACGGCAGGGAGCGTGTTCTGTGGTATGACGTGAAGACCATCACCGACGGCCTCACGTCTCAAGGCATCGGGGAATGGGTAAGAATTTTCACTAGCAAATTCCAAAAAAGATATGTTTCATTTCATGTCCATGTTAGTTCTGTGTTTTTCTTTATTCAGTGCAATGTGTGGATTTATGATGTCATGAAATTTAATACTGTTTGTAGCACTTGTTGTGCTACTACTACTACTATATAATACCAAGAATGCTTTTTGATACATCTTGTTTTATTTTCAACGGTTGCTATGTGGTGCCTATAATTTCTCCACTGTTTTTAGGAGTATCACTGGTCTTGAGCATTACTATTAAGACCATCCATTAAGAGAAGTTGCAGAGAAAGATTTCCATGAAGAGGTGTTTTTATGTCTAGTTTCAGGGTGTGTCCTCTTAAGCACTTTCACTTGATGGAAAACGTGATCCAAAATTCCATAATGAAACACATGGAACACTTAATAGTGACTTAAAAGTTTATAAACTGGTAGGTGGGAATTGTTAGACCAAAAAACATCAGCGTGTTCTAGTGTTTTTAGGTCACTCCGTTGGCTTTGTTCTTACACAATTCACCATGTAAGCAGTGGTAGTTTTGTCCTTTATGTCACAATGGTATTTGTGGAAGTGGTGGAACCGGTTTTGCCTGGCTTTAATGTTTGTCCAGACTATTTACCATACAAAAAGGACGGCTGAGTGCATTGGGGAAACAGAGAAGCTCAAGTAAAAGAGGCCTACAGCAACACTTACAGGAGTGGCAGACTACCAAATGATGAGTGAAAATGTTTTGAGATGACAAATGTTGTCATGCTGGCTGTATGGAGGGGTGGGGTATTAAAAACATTTTGGAAAAAAAACACCTTTTGATGCAGTATTAAGACGGGGCTTGTAACGGGTTTTAGTGTGTCAAAAATATTTTTTATTGTTAATTGCACATTATGCTTCCAATGAAATATGAAACAGTTGAAGGGTGAGCTAAATACTTTTTTTATATGGAATTGCCTGCCGTAACGTTATTTATTTTTTATTCATTTATACAAAATGTCTAGATAGGAACTCAGACTTTCTTTGTTTTTTCTTCAGGTTAAAAATGTTTCTGGAGATCCAGAGGCTTTTGTCAATGACCACAATGATCAAATCGGGGTTACACAGCCAATGGTTTACAGCCAGAAACCAATTTACCTTCCAAGGTAGGTCATCTCAGTGCTTTTAAAGATTTTATTGCAAAAGCAAATGCATTACTTTTCATCTTTCTGTAGACTTTGTTCTGTGACTGTTCTACAATACGTTTGATTTTTGTAGATGTGAATTACATTTGTAGTGGTTGACTATAATGATAATATCTGTATGCAATTTATTTAATAATCACAAATGATTAATTATTTAATTATTAATGACAAATAAAATGTACACAAAGTCACGTTGTAGGCAGAATGACCACAGACAGACTCCGAATGCTTGGTCTGCTCAATATTAGTCTGTCACTAGACTAGGTGACACAGAGTGAAGGAATCCAGGAAATCTTGTCCCTGTATGAATAGGACCTGGTGGATTTTGTTTTGTCATGAACATGAATAACCAGTTTCACAAACTTATTATGTGAACTATTGTGATCAGAAAGCTATTCTCACTGTCAGTTATAATCAAAATTGTAATAATGTCACACCTAAGTTATTAACAAAATTGCTATTGGTGTTGTTTTTTTAAAATTTTTTATCAAAAGTGGTTCTGACGTGACAAGCTCTTTAAGTGGACTGAAGGGCAAACTAAGAGACTATGACACTGGAGAGTCTGGAGATGAGCTGGACACTGACTATCAAAGGTGAGGAAAATCTTTGAGTTATAGTTGGTAGTACTGGAGCACTTTTTAAAAAAAAAATTGCACAGCATTTGTGACTTTATGTAATTAGTAACACTCTTGTCATATTTCCCCCTTTACCTCTATTTTGTGCTGCCATGCTCTCAGTGAGTATCCTCCCATCATGAATGAGCAGGAGAGGCTTGAGTACAAGAGAGAGTTTGACAGAGACCACATGGAGTACAAGCGTCTTCAGGCTGAGCTAGATGATATTAATCAGGGCTTGGCAGAAGCAAATCGAGAGCTGGACAGCCTGCAGGAAGGCAGCCCACAGTTCATGGTATGTAATTTATAAAGTGAAACACAAATTCACATGCTTAGAAAATATGCGTTGTAGTCCAAACGAGTCGTTCGTTGTAGTTTTTGAAAAGTGATTTCTGTTCAATAAAATATCTCCTTTTGAAGTGGACTTTGAACTTTGTAACTTTGCAGATCTTTTTTATGCCCAAACAGAAACATTACAGACTAACTAAAGTTGAAAAAGTGAAAAAGCATAATAGGACCCCTTTAAGATTATGGTTGTCAAGTCTTACAGTATAAAGTCACTTAATCTGTGGTTTTCACAGTAATCTCTTTCACCTTTAAATAATAATAAAATAACTTCTTTAACAATATTAAGCATTAATTTAATAATATCTCTCCTGTTTTGATAAAATCATTGTTATTCAAATATGTTACATTAATATATATTACTCTTGTTTTATTATCTAAAAAGGATGCCATGGATGTATACAACAGGCTTAAAAGTTTGAAGAAGGTAAACTCTTTCGGAATAGAATATTGTGAATTGCATAATTTGTCACAGCTGTTAAAAAAACCCCGTTTATAGTACATAATGATTATGACTTAAGTGTATAGGCAAATGTAATTTCTGACCTGTTTTCTTTCCCACAGTCTTCAGACTATCAGATGAAAAAGAAAAGGTGTAAACAGCTGAAGACAAAACTGTCCTTGATCAAAAGAAGGGTCAGCGATTATGACCACAGACAATAAAACCTGGCACTGGAAACTCCGGAGGGTATATTACGTGACATGATGTTTTGTTTTGGGACTTTACTGTATCTGTATTTCTGTATTAAAAATCTGTATCACTGTATTACTATCAAGAACTGTGTGGCTGCTGTATGACAGGTTTTTGCTTTTGAGCCAAACTAAGCTTGATCAAAATATTGTGGTATCAATGAAGTATTTTGTTTTATTTTTTAAAGCTAGATGAAGTTTCCTTTTAACCTTTTATCTTTATCCTCAGACATTTAGTCAAGTCAAAGTTAGTGTATCTTATATGAGACTGTGGCCACTTTTTGTTGTAGTTTTAGGGATCTTCAAGCAAAGACATTCCAATGTTGTTTGCTATAATCATTTCTTAGTGGATTTTCTTTTTTTAACTTTAGTTTTTTTTTAAACCTGTTGATTGATCTGTCACCAGAATAGCAATCTATTCTTTTTTAAGTACACATTTATAGAATAGGTGTGAATTCAATTTCAATTATAAAGTTTATATATTTTGGTTCTTAAGTCAATTATGTCGAATTTATAGAGAATTCAGGCAAATTGTGTTGAATGTACAGTACATTTTTTGCTCGTTATTTGTGTACATAGTAAAATAAAGCCATTCAGTTTCCAAATGTATTATTTTGTATTCATTTCAGTTTCTGAAATTAATTCAAGTGGGCAACTAAAAAAGCTAATCATAAACTGGTTTTATGGATCAATATATGGAGGCCCTCCCATAACTCGGAACTATTGTTCAGTTTTTGTACCGGAGGACATAACAAATCGACGGACAAGGGTTGCCCGAAAGTAAATACCGGGTGAATTGGATTGTTTTTTATAGTCCACTGATCAAGTTACATATTAATATGTGCTTAATACAAAAATACAGTTAATAGACATTTTCCTGTATTTGCCGTTATAAGTTTTAAAGTACGAAAATCTATACAACGTATAAGGGAGTCTCTGTGAGGAGACCAAATGCAGAAATCTATTGAAACTTCTGAGAGTACAAACCTTTCGGAAGAATAGAATAACTGTATAACATTCCCCCTAAAGAAAGCTTACAGTCTGTTACAATTATAAAACATGGATGAAGAACCAGAGAGAGCAAAACGCTGGGAAGGAGGATACGAACGAACATGGTGAGAAGTTGAGCTTTATGCCTAACTTTAACTTGTGTGCGTTTTAAATTTAAATGCATTATTTACCTCAAATTGCCACCAAAAAGTGGTCATTGTTAATAAAATATATTTCATAAAATATTATTTATACCGTCAATAATTGTCACTAAAAGTATAAAACATAAAGGCTCCGAAACTATGGCTTAATATGATTGTAAGGGGCATCACAAGACTATCAGCCACTGACTGATATTTATTAAAGCACATGAGAACACATACGCTGTAATGAGCAGTTGACGTGTCTCTCTTAGGGAGGTGCTGAAGGAGGATGAATCTGGATCTCTCAAAGCTACTGTGGAGGACATTCTTTTCCAGGCAAAGAGGAAAAGGTACAGCACTCGAATGCACAATATAAAAATCAGTTTGAGCTGATTGCCTATTGATTTGATATTCACTTGCAGTCTCTCTGTCACATTACAGAGTGTTTGAGAGTCATGGACAAGTTCGGCTTGGGATGGTAAGATGCATTTTACTCCTCCATAGTTATATCATTATTTTTTGTTGTCGGAGACTGATTATAATCATGCATATAATTCCCACCAAACCAGATGCGGCACCTCTTTGTGATCATTGACTCATCTAGATCAATGGAAGATCAAGACCTAAAGCCTAACAGGCTCACCTCAACCTTGAAGGTTAGTAGCACTGCATTTGTAGTGGCGTATACATTATATGAAATCTGTCTGAACTGATTTAATTTTGCATTCTTCAGCTGATGGAGTATTTTGTAGAGGAATACTTTGACCAGAATCCAATCAGTCAGGTAATGCACTCATCTCTGTATCTGTCTGTGAGTGTTTACAGCGTGTGCAGCCTCTGTTAACTGTACCATATTGTCCCAGATAGGGATCATTACCACCAAGAACAAGAGGGCGGAGAAGCTCACTGATCTTGCAGGTTGATGCATTAGTATTTGTTTGCATGTTTTGATACGTTTTCTTTATCATCAAATTCACTTTTACTCTTACCAGGGAACCCTAAGAAGCATACAGCAGCTCTGAAGAAAGCCGTGGACTCCACATGTGTTGGCGAACCGTCTCTCTACAACTCTCTGAACTTGGCTATGCAGACACTGAAGTAAGGCACATGCCACTTCCACCTGGAACTGAAATGTAACAGTGTTGCATACAGTGCTTCATAATCTACATATCCCTTTACCGCAGTAACCATATGTCTATTTTCATGCAGACACATGCCTGCTCATACAAGCAAAGAGATCCTGGTGGTTTTCAGCAGTCTTACCACCTGTGACCCAGCCAACATCTATGAGCTTATCAAAGTGAGTTTGAATGGTGTTAATGTCTGCATACTGCAATGGTTAGTGTATTTTGATGAACACGGATTTCTTTGTGGTCTTGTGTTTTAATATATCAACAGACTCTGAATGGTTTGAAGATCAGAGTGTCTGTGATCGGCCTGTCAGCAGAGGTTCGGGTGTGCACTATTCTCACAAGAGAAACCGGAGGTTGGTAGTCTTACTTTAACATGATTTCTCACTTGTGTAATGTTTTCTAAATTCTGTTTGGCCCAATAGGATCCTACAATGTGATTCTGGATGAGAGTCATTTTAAAGAGCTGCTGATGCTGCATGTGAAGCCGCCTCCAGCCAGCTCCTCCTCAGAGTGCTCCCTCATTCGCATGGGTAATCACACAGTCATTGTCACCACATTTACACAATTGTTGAAAGTTCAACACCTATTACTGGTAGCTAAAAGCTTAGTCATAAATTAGCTAAATGCTACCGCCAGACCCGAGAGATCGGCTGAATGGATTCGAAAACGGTAAAACTCAACTGTTTAACTCTAGGGGAGTTGGAAAATGAGCCTATTTTCAAAAATAGTGGAGTTTTCCTTTAATGGTTTCTTCTTTAAAATGACATTTAGCCTCTGTTTTCTCCTCTCTGCAGGTGTTTACTTGTCTAGCATGTAAAAAAGTGTTCTGCGTGGAGTGTGATCTCTTCATACATGACACACTGCACTGCTGTCCTAGCTGCATGCAGACTGACAGGACGTCCTGATGTAAGACGGCCTGACCAATCGGTCTGCACACGCAAACAAAGCCAAAACCTAGATATTTTAGGCAATATAGAAATCCTGGCCAGGACGCGTCCTGGGAAAATGGCACGTATGGTCACCCTAGACTACGAGACATCTGTGAACATCAGTACTGTGTGAACTAAACTGAGAGATGCAGAAGAAAAAGAGGAAGTCATCAGCCACTGATTATTGAGGGCTAATGTAATGAAAGCCGATGCTTGTCAGATCTTTGGCATCTTTCTGTTTACTTTTATCGTAGTTGTGCTCAAGCTGTAACTCTATGAAAGGGCGCCCCCTATGGGGAAAAGTGTCTCACTGGACCAAATGAAACCAGCAACAGAGGAAAAAAAATTTCGTGCTGTTTTTTCAGTGTTACATTTCTGTTGAAGCCACTGAGTTATAATAGATTTAACATGACAGCTGTTTCTATATTTTGTTTCCTACAGACCATGTTAATATACTTGACTGTGCTCAATGACTCAGAAGCAAACCTGTAACTAGGTGTTGAGATGAATTGTTCAAACAAATAAATTTGTTTTCTTTTTAAACCGTACTGACGTTGCATGACTTGTTTTTGCAAACTAAATGATTATATAAATATTGTATAAATGATTGCTGATATATAAGTTTAAAGTGTTGCAGCAAAATGTCTTGATTTCTAGAGTTAAAAGAGTTGATTGCAAGGACAAAACAGCGTATGATAAAAATAAAAGATATTACAGAAGTAATCCAATTCACTAGAATTTCATTTCAATACAAAAGGTTGGAGACGGATGAGATTCTTAAATTTGACCTTTACAAGCAATGGCACAGCTCTTCAAAAATATTCACCCCATATTCACAAATTCAGAATCAGTTTTCACACACTTTAGCACACCAAAGTTCTTATCAAAACTCTTGCATTATATTAAAATGCATTATAAAATGTATACATCTATGACTCTGACATTCACAGTTTAAGTGCTTCACAGCTCTGTATTTTTCTGCTGGTCATAGTGTCTGTGCAGCCAGGCCTTCAGTAGTGGGAGGTTCTTGTCCATCCAGCGAATGTTCTCTTCAATGTTCTCCAGGGCTTGCTGAATACATCTCAATTCTGCTCCGGTCTCAGCCCGCAAGGAACTGAAGAAACTACGAATCTGATGAAGCAGAGAAACACAATGTAATGAAGTGTTCTGATTACATGATGTGTTTTTGGTCTAGACCAGCTGATGAAAGCTCCTAATTATTTTTATAAAAAAACCCAATACCTACCTCAGCTAGCATTTCTCTGGTGGAATACTGGTTGGTCACTCCCACTACCATGTGCGCTATAGAGGGTGAGCCAAGATCAAACCTATAAACAAATATTTGAAGTCATTAAATGGCTCAGAATCCCACTATCGTGTGTCTAATTAGATCAGTATCTTACTTCTTAATCAGGGAGTCCCAGTTAGCTTTTAAAAAGTCCCATGCGTGTTTGTAGGCCTTTGGATTTTTACTGACTGAAGTCACAACATATGGCAGATCCTGAGTCTTCATCACCTCTCCCACCAGACTCTGCTCCATCATCCTGAAACAAATAAAGGATGACATGAGTGATTATTCTCATTTTCCTAAACTGATGTTTATCTGAATGTCTCACCATTTTAGCTTGTGATCGAGAGGGCTGGTTGTGAGGGCCATCTTTATCCTGCTCTTCATGGAGACGTACATGGATTCCTTGTACTTCTCAAACAGGAATTCCCAGCCATCCTCAGTCCGGGCACCGACAGAAAACACAGCCATAGTAACATCATTAGGAAGACTAGAGGACGGAAAGACAAAAATAATCAATTTCTCCTTACAGTTTCATTCATTAAGGGAGGAAAAAAGAAAACGTGCTATTACTTCTCCAGAGTTTTCATATTCTTAATGGAAACAGTGTAGACCAAAGTGTTCGTTGTTCAAAAGGAGGTTTCAGAAAGGAAAGAAAAATGATGACCTCTCACCTCATATTCCCATCTGAGTCCCTCCACCGGTTGAAGAGCTGGGTAGCCGTGCTGACACAGGGAGGATGACCCCGCACACAGCCGAACAGGAGCAGGTAGCTGCGCAGCATCCTCTGAGACACAGAGCCATCATCAGTCCACGACTGCTGGTCTATGAGCTTCCTGAACAGCTGCAGTATGTAGCCCTGGACCACAGCAAGAGAACCAGCATTAGTTACACATCTACAGCAGGGAACAAGGCATGGTGAGTTTATTTACACGTTTCATACAAAATGGTAATTTAATATGCTTTACATAATCACAATAAAGAGTTGATAAACAAAACGATGATGAAAGCCCTTGTTGGTCAGTTTTTTAAATGAACTAACGAGGGCTTTCACACTTTTTAAACGACAAATTTCCATGACTTTTCCAGTGGTCATGATTATTTACAAAGAGCACTTTTCTTGCCAATTAAATACTTTAGCATAACTAGAAAACTCTATTTTCATTACAGAAATTTCCATGACATTTTTTAAATGTATTTAACTTCCAGGGGAAATTTCAGGTAAACAATTTTCCAGATGACAAAATGACAATTTTTCCATACCAAATTTTATAATGTATACTACTGTTCAAAAGTTTGGCATCAGTAAGATAAAGAAAAAAGTAATTAATACTTCTAATGCACTGGATTGATTAAAAGTGACAGTAAAACATTTATACATTTTCTATTCAAAATAAATTCTGTTTCAGCAGCACTATTGTTTTCAACATTGATAATAATAAGAAATGTTTCTTAAGCACCAAATCAGCATATTAGAGTGATTTCTGAAAGATCACGTGACACTGAAGACTGGAGTAATGGCTGCTGAAAATTCAGCTTTACAATCACAGGAATGAATTATACTATATTAAAACAAACAAACAAAAAGGTTATTTTCAATTGTAATAATATTTCACAGTATTACTGTTTTTACACTGCAAAAAAATGCTTTTCTTACTTAGATATTTTGTTTTATTTCCAGCCCAGATATCTAAAAATTCTTAAATCAAGATGTAAGAATTTAAGAATTTAGATAATTTGAGAAATTAGATTTTCTAGACAAGTGAAAATTATTGTCTTGTTTTCAGAAAAAAACAAGTCAAAATTAAGTGAGCTTTTGCTTGAAACAAGCAAAATAATCTAAAAAATGGGGTAAGCAAAATAATCTTGTTTTCTGTTTGAAATAAGATTATTTTGCTTACCCCATTGGCAGATTATTTTGCTTGTTCTAAGCAAAAACTCACTTAATTTTGGCTTGTTTGTTTCCGAAAACAAGACAATAATTTTTACTTGTCTAGAAAATCCTTCTTGATTTAAGAATGTTTAGATATTTTGGCTGGAAACAAGACAAAAAAAAAAGCATTTTTTGCAGTGTACTGCACTACTGAATTGTTTTTATTGAATTATCTATTATTAAATGTCAAGATGCATTTTAGTTTTATTCTCAGAACTGCACAGACTGAAAAGAAGCCGATTTCAAATCTGAATCCTGAATGAATGAATCCACAAGCTAGGAGGTCAAAAAATACAGTAAATGATCCCTGACTGACCTTCATCTGGTTCTCCAGCTCCACCATGTCTCTCTTCTCCATCAGTTTGTACAGAGGCACAAGCTCACTGAAGCCCTGTGTCACTGGCATAATCTCAGTTTCCTTGCTTAGGTACAGGGTCAGGTCTAAAGCCTTATCCAGCGGAAGCTTACCAACACTGTCCACGACACAGGGAGGGAAGATGATTTTAAATCAGCTTGCCAACACTTTTATTGTATGATCTGCAGTACTTTACATTGACTTGTTTGACTCCTGATACATTTTCATCCCACTGACCAATAAGAGCACGTACTGTATGCAGATGAATGAGGACTGACCTGACCAGCTGGAAGGCGTTGCTGATGAGGCTGGCCCGGTCATTGCTGCTGAGCACTGTGTGATTGTGTTTGAGCAGCGTGATGAGGTCATCCCAGCCAGAACCCTCATAGTGCACAATGTAATATCCACTCATGTCCACATTAAACTTGATCCAGTCCACCTCCTCCGGCAGATGCAGAGCATCTATGACGACATATACAACAGATCTGTTAGAAATCAGTGCTACAGTGTTCTATGGATGATCTTTCAGTCTTTGTGTCGTTTAGAGATGTCTAAACACTGACATTTTAAAAACTTGAAAACAAATGAATGTAAATTATTATCAAAACAATATATTATATAATATCATTTAATAATATTAGCACAAAATTAGTAATATTATTAAATAATTCTATTAAAAGAAATACCTGTTTTGGTCTTAAGCAGGAAGCGGTGCACTGTGGCTGAGCCGCTGGTAATGTAAGTCAAAGGAACGTGCCACAGGAAGCTGTAAGATCAAGAATTTACAACCAAGTGTAAAAAAAGAGGAAAATTAAGAGTCTGAAAATAAGTCATACATCTTTATAAAGCCCCATGTACACAAAGAGGGACTTGCTGTGACAAAGCAAATGGAATTTATTCATTTTCAGCAAGAGTTCACGATCACTGGCAATGTGTCTCCTGTGAGATACTGTTTTGTTACTGAGTGATTTTACTTTGTAAATTATTTAGATTTGTGCACATACAAGGATATAATTCTAAAGAAATTATGTGTGGAAAACCATGTCAAAAATTGAGTGACTTGGATTCATACATTGATAATAATTCATCTTGTTCACACGATATGTAAGATTCACTGCTGCCCCACTGTTTTAGCTGCAAGAAAACTAACTTATCTTATTTTGATTGCAATACATCTCAATTGTGACAGCATTTTAACCCTCTGGTGTTGTTGGCAGTCAAAAATTACTGTTTTTTTGTACTATATTTCAACTTAAACTGTGGTAAATCTTAAATGCTTTGGACGCAGACTTAAGTTTGGTTTCTTTTTAAAGAAGACGCTTGACCGATTAGTGCTGAAGTGAGAAATGTTTAAAAAGTGAAACAAAAAAAGTTTATTATTATGAAAAATGCACAGAAATACTATTTTAAAATGTTATATCAAATATATATTTTCCAAAACATGTTCACTCTGAAACTGATAGAGTTATGTTCCAAACTGATATCTCCCCCCAAAAAATAAAAAAATAAATAAAGAGCTTTCAGTAAGTTTTTTGTTTCGGCACAGTACCAACAATTTCTACTTGATGAAATTAGCTTCCCAATCATTTCCAATGCTGTCATTTTTACCGCAAACAAATACATGTGTGACTATTTTTTTCAGTACCGTTTAACCTTTTCAAATCATGTCCATGATTTTTTTTGGTGTGTGTAAATGACTGTACAACACAAGAGGGCTAAAAGTATAAACCCTGAAAAATCACTATCAGTATCACAGGCATAAAAATTAAGAAATTGTCGATCTTTGATATTAATATTAAACCTGGATGTTTGTGAGGGGTCATCACTCTTTAGGTAACGCTCTTGACTTAGTCGGACTTCGCGACCTTTGACCTCCACCGTAATGAGTGGAAAGCCCTCCTGCAATGTCCACGTCTCCATCATAGCCTTAACATCCAGCTCGTCCTCAGAGTGCCATTTCTAAAAGATAAAATATCACAGAAGTACATCACAACAGCACTTAAAAACAGGGTAAAGAGAGTTCAGAGTAATGATGTAACAAAGTAACCCACAGAAGCTCCAGAGTGTGAGACTGAGCGCCGGCAGGACTCATCACCCTTCAGTCTTCCTTCATCCAGACCATCAGAGTCACACACCTATAACAGAGAGAGACATTGAGACAAACCTTGTTAACACACTACTATATCATGAGACATTTTGATCCTGTACTCCTAAAACTTTGTGAAATTTTGTGAGCAAAAAAGGTCCATTGTCAATAGTGTAGCAAGAAGCACAGCTCACAAAGAAGTCTTTTTAGTCATAGAATGATGACTGATGACTGGATTTCACCTGGGAATCTTAACAGGTAAATGTAACCGCAACTAATGAATTATAAGAAAGCCCACACAGTTTACTGCAGAGTTCTATGCATCTGCATCACACATGTAATTTGTACTCACATTGGTCAGACTTTCCCACAGGTTACTATTGACCGTATTCTGGTAACTGTAGCGTTTTAGGTATCTCACAATGCCCAGTTTAAACGCATCTGGGGTCAGAAACTCTCTCAGCATGTTCAGAATACAAGCCCCCTGAAATGACATTAACAATCGTAAAATGGTTTTAAAAAGCTATTGAAAGAGTATAACAAGAAAAACATCTCGCACAGGAAAACTTTCCAAAGTTTTATTATGCACCTTGTCATAGGAAACATCATCAAACATTTCCTGTATCTGAGCAGGATTCTCCACCGGTGTGGACACTGGGTGAGAGGAGCTCAAGGAGTCTACCTCCATGGCCTCAAAACACTTCTCTAGGAAATAATCCTCCTGTGGCACAAAAAAGATTTGTCTTCATATTAGCACAGATCTTCATCCAAATCATGCAGAGTGCTTTTAAAATTATGATTATGGAAATAAAAAGCCTATATATATATATATATATATATATATAAAGGTAACGTACAACTTGCAGTTCAGGATTGGTGATGTTGACAGACACAAACTCCATGAACTTGGCAAAACCTTCGTTCAGCCACAGATCATTCCACCACTGCATGGTCACCAGGTTTCCAAACCACTGACAAGAACATGCAAAGAATGAACAATTCATTAACTAACCACAGCAACGTGTTACTGGAATACATCCCATAATAGTTAACTGATGTCATAAGTTCACCTGATGGGCCAGTTCATGGGCGATGATCATCGTGATGCCCAGCTTGTCAGAAGCAGAAGACTTGTGGGGGTCAAAAAGAAGGCCTGATTCCCGGTAGGTGGTCAGACCCCAATTCTCCATCGCTCCAGACTGAAAGTCTGGGTTGGCAGCAAGATCTACAGAGCAGATTATATAAATAGTGAATTCAGAAATCTGCCTTTTGCACTTTAAGAAGTAGACGAAATGCCTAAGTGGAGCTAACCCTGTTTAGGTAGAGGGTAAGGAATGTCAAAGTAGTCATCATAGAAGTCAAGCAGTTTCACTGCAGCGTCCAGAGCAAACTCTGCCTGGTCGATCTTCTCTGGCACAGCATACACTGAAATCTGAATTCACATCAAGTAATAATTGATGGAGGTGGTATCTTATAGTACAGTACATAAGGGTTTGGTTTTAATGATGTAAGACGGATCATCTTCTAACCTGGACTCCATGCTGACTCGTTTTGCTGATGGACAGAAAGTCAGAGACAATGAAGGCCACTCATCTTAACACTCACATCAAACTGGTCCTCAAACAGGCCGCCTGGCAGCTCTAATGTTCTCAGCTGGAGTAAAGGAAAAAAGAGTACACTCAACAGAAGAATCAGTGTCTCCAACGGCAGATTAATAGTTCATGCACTTTATGATTTATTCAGGTTTTAGTCAGAAAACAGCAGGATTGATCAATGGAGGTTCTATGGATATTATAACAACACCTTAGGCATGTTTGAGAGGGCAATATGCTTTGCTTCTCTGCGAATCCGCATGGAAAAGTTGGCTTTGAAGGCAGGTTCATCAAAACAGGGAAAAGCTGCCCGGGCACTAGTCGGCTCAAACTGTGTGGAAGCCACAACCCTGAGAACGTGATTGGCCCAACATCAGATTGTTACTTCTAAAAAATGATAAATCACTTTCAGAGCCACTCATAGAGATATTGGCTGTGCTTACATAAGGGTTCTCACCTGAGGTCTCCCTTGCTGGTCCGATATGTGCTTTTGTAAAATCCATGAAAGCTCTCAGAGAGGCTGGCGGCAAACTCCAGTTGAATTGAATATACATGCTCTCTCTTCAGCAGTGCATGCTCAGATATAAGTGCAATCTGCTGGAAGTATGGGTACTCCAGCACCTTTAGGGCCTGTAGCTGACCTATGTCTGAATCCAGCAACCTTGCATTGGAGATATGAAGATCCTTGCTGTGCAGTATGATATTCTTGGTGTTTTCGTGGACCTCAATTTGGATCTGCACCATTCCAGTAAAGTCTAAACTTGTGAGGTTGGGGTGGATAAGGAGATGGTAATGAAGAGGAGATGCTGTGTCTGGAAGTCTCATTTTGTTCCATGGGAATGGTTCTCCATTGGTTGATGTGGGGAATGAAGTGGTCTCTGGAGTGACTGCAGCCCAGAGGTGAATGGGCAAAACTATGAGATTCACAAGCAGAGCAAAGCTAGTCATAGCTGCCCAGTACTACACTGTAGGGGAAAAGGGGGAAAAATTTATTATAAACTCCGATAATACAACACAAGCTCATAAGCTCAATATGGGCTTGATTACGTTGAACAAGTTCTGTTTTCGACTTTGTTTAAAAATAATTTAGTGAGAAAGTGTATAATAATGCACTTATATAGGCTAGGTTACACTGCATAGCCCCTCTTGTATAAATCTAATTTCTCCGAATCGGTTCTTTCGAACAATTTGTTTACGTCATGACGTAGTCATATTCTGTTTAAAACATCCCAGTAAAGCCATATGTTGCACTTTTACCGACCGATTATGTATAATAATGTGTTTATTGTAATTTCACATGCCCAATGTCTGTTAGTTGCGCATGATTCTGCTCATAAAAACATCATTTATAGAAAAAACGCTTTTTAATAAAACGTTTTAATATTATCTGTTAAAAACAACGCCGTTTCGCACGTGTTAAGAATGTCATGCAGCCAAGTGCAGAATGCTCTACTATCAGCTTACCGGTTTCCTACTCATTAGGCTACATGTTCGAGAGCGACAGTTCAGTCATTGTTGACTGGTTTTGTGAACCATTTCAACAGATTTAATAATCTTTTGATCAAACTCGCGGTAAATGTAATGAAAATTCTACATTCAGTTATGCACAACACCAACGTCTACTGTAATGTAAACCAAAACGGCACTGCGCGTGCAATACGCTCAACCAAATGTCATCTGTGCCGTATTGTCACGTGCCAGAGATGAAATGCAAGTTTATTTTCATATCACAGAATACTTACAATTACGAACTACGCTTTTCAGTTAAAATCCTCGATGTGTTAAAAAATGAATCCAGGTTTGGTTCAGCTGAGCGTTCAAATCAAAGAATGTGAAAGTGAAAATACAATTCTTCAACATTTGCATCATGGGAAGTTGTTTTTTAAAATTAAAGGCGCTGCTCTAACAGATTAGCTGTAGGACAATTTAACACTATAAAATAAATACAATCAGTATGTTAAGTTGCATTTAATGTTGCCAGATCCTCCACAGTTCCCCAGTCTGTGGAAATTAACCTGAACCTTCAAATACCACCAGAAAGACTTTACTGTACACTGTAATATTGTAATTGAATGAATGAATGAATAAGCATAACTCAAGGGAAATTTTGTTTTGGTAAAAAAAAAAAATATATATATATATATATATGTTGTTAGTTGTCATTGGTTGTGTATAGTCCTAATACATTTTTGGACACATTGTAATTGCAAACATGAAAAGCTGCAGAATGGGACAAAGTCTTTAAATTTCTTTCAGTGATGGTGGAAAATATGGCTTTTTGTGGCGGTCATAACATGTGACAGTCAATGCTTATAAACTCAGTGTGCATTCATGTAGATGTATGATTAGAACATGTAGTTTTATAGTCAACCCGGTCATAAAGTCCAACATAACATTTCACTGAAATCATTAATGAGTAAACTTTATGGTTTAGCTGAATCTCTCTTATCAGGAATAGGGATTTTCGTGAGCAGTGCAATGACAAAAAACTGACCTTCATCCATATGATATTGACACTTAAGATTTTTTTCACACCCTCCTACCCACCACTCTCATCATAGGCTATATTAGAGGAGGACAGGACTGGTTGGACACATTCAGGAGGTGCCTTTGACAAACTAACATTATGCTTAAGGAGGTGTTGTTGGGTGTCCTCACAGGAGCAGTGGCTTTGACTATAGGCATTCTGCTGGGACACTTCGCCATTGACAAGGGCAGTTCGGTGCCAGAGTGGGTCCGGGATGCATCTCGTGATGTGGACGAGAGTATCATTGAGAAATTCCTTGCAGAACTGGATACCAATCAACTTAAAGAGAACCTCAGGTGAAGTATTTATATGGAGGCACGCACACGAGTATGAGATTCAATTGGTAGAACACCTAAGAACATTTCACTTGGTATGAGGTTGTTTGTTCCAGCTGAATTGAGAATGTACTTGGTCTCCTTTATCCAAAGGGAACTGACTAAGGTTCCCCACATGGCCACCACCTCTGGAGATGAAGCAACCGTAGATTTTATGCTGAAGAGATGGCAGGACCCCAACACAGGCTTGGACAGTGCATGGAGGGAAGACTACAAGGTGTATCTGTCATTCCCAAACAAAACAAGCCCCAACAAAGTCTCTGTTGGTAAGACAGGATATCTAGTCACATGGTTTCAAAACAGCTCTGTGGACTTCTAGTTTGTGAAATTTTGCTGATTTGCTTGTAGCACCCTGAATGCAGTCAAAATCATATATTATACAAAAATATGTTAAATGATGTATAAGAAAATTAAGAATGAAAAACTGTTTCATTTAGTTGATCCAGCAAACACAGTGCAGTTTACGGCAAGAGAGCGAGAGAAGGTATACAAACCAGACCAGGAGGACCCAGAGGTGGTCCAGCCATTCGCGGCATATTCCCCCGCAGGAAACGTCAAGGTGTCGTTAATATACTTCACAGTTCATGCATGCTTATATATTATTCTTCAAATAAACATTGTTTATAGTTTAAATTCGATCAAAAGTAAGAGTAAGGACATTGTTTATGAAAGATTTAAATTTCAAGATTTCAGTGTTGTTCTTTTGATAATAATAATAAATGTTTCTGGAGCACAAAATCAGTATATTACACTGATTTCTGAAGGATCCTGTGACACTGAAGACTCAAACAATGGCTGCTGAAAATTCAGCTTTGCCATCACATGAAATAGAAAACAGTTACTTAAATTGTAATAATATTTCATAATATTACATATATTTTAATCAAATAAATATACCTTTGGTGAGAATAAGACTTCTTTCAAAAACATTACAAATCTTACTGACACCACACTTTTGAATGTCAATGTACATTAAATAAATAAACTCTTATGTTAAATATTTATAAAAAATATTTTATATTACATTAATAATTGCCTTTCCTCATCTCTAATATCAGTTTTTCTATTGAAAAAAAAATTTTTTTTTAAATGCCTTCTGTAATGGAGGTGTTATCGTGACAGAAAATCTGTTATCTTATGACATTGTAATGACACATAAGTTATGACATAACTGAGCAAGAGATGAAAACGAATGTCTTTATTACACTTGATTGTTCTAGAAAGAAAACGGAGAGTGTGATGACCTTTGGGGCTATCAGACCATATGACACCATAGTAAACTCATCTACTGATAGCTATTTGTTTTTTCTTTCACTAATGATTCATGATTGACTTTATAATCAAGGGTTCATTGTTAGCATATCTTGCTATCACTAACTTTATCAAAGGCTGATAAAATTTATGCCATTATTATATAGACATTATAAAAGTGATATTTATGCCTAAATCAAATTGTGATATAGTCCAATATAGTGACTCATCTGTTTTACATGCAGGGAAAACTTGTCTATGCGAACCAAGGTAAAATGAGTGACTATGAGCTGTTAAACACAACGCTGGATCTGAGGGGAACCATCGCCATCACCAGATACGGAGGAGAAGGGAGATCTAAAAAAGTGAGGAAACACTAGTTAAATCTCTCAAAACCTTTCAGGACAAAATTCAGAATTAGCTTTCAGTTCAGATCTCTGACAAGATCTAGATAGCATACTAGATTTATTGCCTTGAATGTGTAAAAACGGTTTTAACTCTCCTGTGGCATGAATATAACAGGCTATAAATGCAGCCAGGTTTGGAATCGTTGGGGTGCTGGTCTATACTGAGCCGTATGACATGAATGATGGCCTGGTGTCAGAAAGTGAAACCTACCCTCACTCCTGGTATCTCCCACCTTCTGGCGTCGAACGAGGCTCATACAACATTGACTTTGGAGACTTGTTAACACCTTACTTAGCTGCAAAGGGTAACTGGGTTTTTTGACATCGAAACACATAAGGTAAATGGCATATGGTACAACATATGTAAATGTTTTCATTTGTAGATGATACCTACAGAATACCAAAAGAAGACATAACAGGTATTCCACCAATTCCAGCACAGCCAATAGGGTTTGAGGATGCTGAAAGATTAATCTGGTGAGTGTAACTGTTTAAATATAGCAACCCAATAACTGGGTTTGTCCCTTTTTAACCCAGCATTTTTTAGAGTGTACGATGTTTCCTTCTAATTCTTGACTGAATTATGTGTGACAGTGAGCTCGATGGGGACGATGCCCCTGATGAATGGCAAGGCTCACTTAACTGCATATACAAACTTGGAGGGCCAGGGTTCAAAGCCACATCTACCTTCAGCAACAGGTAACTGCTGCATATTTGTGTCCAATCTTGTAATGTCCGAACAAGTATGGTTGTATGTTGAAAGGTTATAATGTTGGTCAGAATTAAAAGAATGTTTTGTCTGTCAGCAATGTGCACTTGGACATTTATAACACTGAGAGGCTGGAATATTCAGCAAATGTTATGGGAATAATCCGAGGCAGTGTGGAGCCAGGTAAGTTGGATTTGTCATAACGTTAACAAGCAAAAATACGTGTTGTCCCAATATACACAGTTCCCAAAAAGTATTTATACACTTAAGTCACACTTGAAATGTCTAAAATGTTTCTTGAGCACCAGATGTGCATATTAGAATGATTTCTTGAGGATCACAGAAATAAAACACATTGTAAAATATAAAAACTCTAACAAAATGTTTACAATATAACTGTTTTTACTGTATTTTTGATCTAATAAATACAGCCTTAGTGAAGCAATTGTTATAGTTACATTTTGTTAGATATAACCAAATACATCTTGAGGAACTTATAAATTGCATTTGCAAACTGTATTTTTGTATGCGTGTTGTTCAGACAGGTACGTGATTTATGGGAACCACAGGGACAGCTGGGTGCACGGAGCCATTGACCCCAGCAGCGGCACAGCAGTGATGCTGGAGATCACCAGAGTGCTGGGGAAGATGGTGAAGGAAGGTCAGGCCTAATGACATCCACAGAAAAACTGCTTTTGCCATTAGATGTGACTGTAGGGCTGGTTGTAATGACCCAAATGAAGTAACATTGTGTTCTTAAAACTATCAGTGCTGGGCGGCAATAAAGAAAAACAATATAACAATGCATCACATTCTAGTCAGTTACAATCTGAAAGAATAACAAAAATCAAATCATATTCATTTCGTATCTCTACCTGAAAGGGAAATGGCGACCTCGGAGGTCCATTATCTTTGGCAGTTGGGGAGCTGAAGAATTTGGCCTTATTGGATCTGCAGAATACACAGAGGTTTGTTGATAAAGACATCAGTAGCATTACTAAAAAAACTGGAATTGGCTCATAAAACACTGTATAGGTGTTAAAAGAAATGTTCGTTCTCAGGAGTACTTCAGTAAGCTGAGTGAACGCACTGTGGCGTACATCAACGTGGACATCTCAGTGTTTGGTACCACTTGATGCTTTTCCTCTTTTCATCAGAATATGATTTTCATCATGTTTTCTACTTGCTGAAATGTTGTCTGTCCACCACAGCTAATGCGACTCTCAGGGCTTCTGCTTCTCCGGCAGCACAGAGCGTGATATTCACAGCCTCCAAACAGGTGAGGAACAAATCCTCTAGCTGTTACCGGATCTGAGATGTGACTTTCATAATGCTTTGATGAGTCATGTGCTTTCAGGTAAATGCTCCTGGAACAACCACAACAGTCTATGAGAACTGGAAGCAATATTCCAACAGAACCAGTCCGAATTATGGGATTATACCAAAGTATGCTCGCAATATACCTCATGGTTTGATGCTATATTTTAACACAAGGTGATTATTCTCAATACTGTTCATTGTATTTTCAGTGTGGGCTTCTTGACAGGAGCAGGAAGTGATTATGCAGCTTTTATGCACTACCTTGGAATAACGTC